TTAGATTTAATCAAAATTCGATCGTGCCATTATAGTTAAATTTGTTGATCAAACTCAACGTGATACGGCTTTAGCTAACAAAGCCGATCTCAAAAGATGTAAGATTTGCTTGAATCTTGATCACACAATCAAATTCAAGAGTTGAAGAATTCAAGAATTCAAGAGAAGTCATGTTCACAAAAAACTTTTTCTACTAGTTTTGGTTTGCATGAGGTAGTTAAAGAATGAGAAGTAAAAATGAAATCATATGCTGAAGCTATCAAGGTTGCTCATGTATCTTTCTATCATGAGCAAGAGATTGAAAAGTCAAATCAATTCGCCCGTAGAAAACATTGGAAATTTAGATATACTAGAATTAAAAAGTGTTATCATCAAGTTTTTGGTTGAAATACTTCAAAATTTTAACCCAGATTTAGCTCAAGCTTTTTGCATTGGAAGCAAAGAAATTCGATCTTAGATCTTAGATTTAATCAAAATTCGATCGTGCCATTATAGTTAAATTTGTTGATCAAACTCAACGTGATACGGCTTTAGCTAACAAAGCCGATCTCAAAAGATGTAAGATTTGCTTGAATCTTGATCTTACACCTCTAGGAATAGAGGTAAGGAGAAAGCTATTTACAAAAGTCAAAGAAACTCAAGATTTTGGATTTTGTGCTTATCTCCGTGATGAACAAGCAATTGTTATTCAGCAAAGAAGACAATCATCAATCTAGTAATCCAAGAGCTTGAGTATGTTAATGTGCAATATAAGAGTACTTTCTACAACAAAGTATGTGAGTGTTGATCCAATTTGGAAGATGACGAACATCATCAACGTTGTGAAGACGTGGGAACATGAGAACAACGCTCTTGAAGAGATACCAAGGTTTATTTTGGTGGCATCCACTTGAAATCATAGAAATCAACGAGCAAGAAGATACTATGATGGTATTGTTATTTTCATCAGGTCTTAATTTTTACCTCTAATACATCTAGAAGGTCATGATATTGGAGTTCAATATCATTGGCTTCGTCTTGAATTGATTAGAGTATCTTATAGTTACTTGGTTGTTTATTACTTTGAATCATAGTCCATGCCTATCTATTTCACACGCACTTGCAATCAGAGTCCACCATTCCATCAATTTAAAACAGATGTTCTCAACTATCAAAGTAAAGGTAAAGTTTTTTTCTTCAAGATTTCAATGCTCGCATACGTTGTGCTCAACTTACCCAAATTGATGATCATTTGACTTCTCCTTCTTTTGAAGAATTTGAAGATGGTGTGTGATCTAGAATCTCTTCTGATGCTTCTACAAATACTTTGACAAAACATTTTCTAACCTTTAGAATCACATGTAATTTGAAAGTTTTCAACAATATCTCTCTATTTTCCAAATTTCTTTCCAATATCTATTTTTCTTCTACCGGTGTTAGCGCTTTTGATTATCTTCTATCCTTGGTCACTATTAATTTTCTAAAGTCTACATTTGACATTCTACATTTGACATTCTAGCGAACTTTAGCGAGAATCTGAATATGCAACTTTTTTATTTACTCTCTTGTTGCTAAAAAGACTTCATCTTTTTACATGCTATTACTTTTTAGCTTCCTCCAAGTTTTATTTGTATCCTAGTAAGAAAGATCTTTACATGCTACATTTTCAAGACCTTTTGAGCCACACTTCATGGAGCCTTGATCCACATACAGCGAGTTTGCAACTAACAAAGTTGCTCACAAACACTGCTTCTAAGTTTTTTTTGCAGCACAAGGATCGAAGAGCTAGAGATCTTCCTTGCAATTGATGGTTTGACTTTGATTGCAAGCAAGCGAGGATGAGATCAGTTGACAAGTCTTTGGATCTCCAAAGTCAATTTATCTTGACAAGGCTTTACAAAGTTTAGGTGAAGTCTAAAGAACAAGATTTGTTGAGGACGAAGCAAGATTCCTCGACAAAGCACTTGATGGAGAATTCCAAATCTTTCTGGAGACAGTTAGCAATACTTTCTTCTAAATCTACTCTTGATTCCAAGTCTTTGATTGCTTTTGCTGAAAAGCTTTATTCCTTCACAACGTTGCATCAATGCCACGTTGTGAAGGAATACCTTGCTTATTTCTTGAATCAGAGATGATGACTAAACTCAAAAAATTGGCAAATGATAAATCAGAGGGTTTGAATTATCTTTCTATTGAACTTTTCAAGTGAGGAGTAGATGATATTGGAGCAAAACTCATTAAAATGTTAGAAAATGCTACTTTGTATGATTTTTCTTCAACTTGATACCTACAAAAGAGTGTTTCTATTCACAAATCAAGAATTAAGTACTTGGTGATAAACTATTGCACTATCATGGTGGATAGTGTTTTTGCCAAGTTGCTTGGCAAATTGATGGAGTCAAAGTTGAGCACATAGACTGAATCTCATCGGAAGAGATAGCGGTTCCAAGTTGGTTTTTGCCCTACATACGACACCATTGATCATATTTTGGCCTTGTGTGTTTTATGGAAAAAATCAAAGGCCAATGAAATAGCTTTGTTTTGCATCTTTATCGATTTTAAGAAAGCTTGTTACCCTGTATTTCGTGAGCTCTTATGGAAAAAATTGCAAACCATTGGAATACCACTAGATCTTATGGCAGTTGTGACTAGGTTATATCATTTTGTTAAGGCAAAGATCAACACTTCTCAATCTTAAGAGGTTTTGAATACCATTCAAGGTTGACTCTCTCTCCTACTCTATTTGAAGTTTTCATAGATGATATTGAAGAGTGGTTGGAGTTATGTGATAGTGAAGGTGTCAAGCTTGGCAACTTTGTTATCAAAGCTTTCTTGTATGTAGATGATATCATATTACTAGCACATGATGCAATTAGTTTACAGAAACAATTATACACTTTGACTAGCTTTTGTACTTAGAATTAGATGAAGATAAATATGAAGAAGCCTAAACTCATGATAGTGAGCACTAGATCCAAGTTTTTTTCATGTTACAAGGACCTATAATAAGAGGAGATGAACATTTATAGATATCTAGGCATTGATTTTTCTAAGGATTATAGTTGGGCACTTTGTATGCCAAAGAGAATGAAAAATGCTTACAAAGCTCTTTATTCATTGCTAAATTGGTGTAGAAGGGCTCATCTAGTATCTTGGAGTCTTAGGAGATTTTTATTTAGAAGCTTAGTGTTGCCGGTAGTATTATATGGAATCCAAATGTGGTATATTAATTGTAAGAAGACAGTTTGTAGCAAGCGGAGAATGTGAAGAAGATCTTTCTACAAGAAGAATTAGGTGTAAGAAACCAAACTCCATATGCTATTCTTTTTGTGGAAACAGGTTGTTTAACTCTAGAGGTTGAAACTCTATACTTGATCATCACCTACATCATACGGGTGAGATCTCTAAATGTTTTTCGCTTTCCTCTTCAAGCTTTGCGTGCCACATGTGCCAAATGAGGGTTAGCGGATGTGGTAACTTGATCTTTGAGGTGGAATGTGGCGGAACGCAATTGGAGTCTGCAACCTATGGTGCGGGAATGTCTACCGAGTAATTTTTGAACATTATTTGGATCAAGTGCGGCAACAAGATGCAATTTTATCAACTTCATGTGAATCCTATGTTTGTTTTTTGTGAACATTAATATCAATTTGCAATAATCTCTACGTTTTTACGTCATAATATTGTTAGCCATAGAATTGAATCTCATAGGCTTGGAATTGAGTAAGTACTTTGGTTTAATATTGATATGATTGAACTTATTTGTAGTTGATGTGACGGTGGGTATATTCAGTATGAAGAGCATGTATTTATTACTTGTTCTAGGTACAAAGAAGTTGGTTTAATATTGATATGATTGAACTTATTTGTTGGTTATGTGCCGGTGGGTATATTGAGGATGAAGAGCATGTATTTATTACTTGTTCTAGGTACAAAGACGTTGGTTTAATATTGATGTGATTGAACTTATTTGTTGGTTATGTGACGGTGGGTATATTGAGGATGAAGAGCATGTATTTATTACTTGTTCTAGGTACAAAGACGTTGGTTTAATATTGATATGATTGAATTTATTTGTTGGTTATGTGACGGTCGGTATATTGAGAATGAAGAGCATGTATTTGTTCTAGTACAAACACATTAGGATATATTGATGATGAAGAGGATGTATTTGTTAATTTTTTAGGTGCAATGATATCATACTTGCGTGTAATATAGATATGTAGAATTTATATTCTTTATTATAACTAGTTACTATTGATTTAAGTTGTTATATTGAGGACATTTTTATTTCTCGTGCGCACTAGCTAGGTATTGATTGATCTTTGGGGTTCTTTCATTTGTTTGTGATTTTAGCTTGTATCATATTTTTCACTCCTTTGACCATCTATTACCATTTACCGACAACCATATTTACCTACAACCAACTTGTTTATCGCTGCTCAAGAGTTTGTTCTTTACTTTCTTTTCTTGCATCAGAATTTCTTCGAGCAGTTCCAGGATATTCTGAATATCAGACATAAGAGGGATCATATAATGGGGTTTGACCTAAAGGATGGCATTTGGTGGACGAAAGACAAGTGCGATGATTGCTCATTCCTGTCAGAGTCTAAAAATCCGCTTGTTGTAGTTGTTCGATTCTTTCTGTCGAAGATTGTCCTAGATCTACTATCCGTGGGACATATTTTCGATCTGAGACTGATGAGTCACTAGCCGCCTTAAGAAGGAAAATGCATGCTGCTTGTACAGGCAACATCAGGCATTCATTTAGCCTATCAGTCGTGGTAGTGTTCCCGTCAAATTCTTCAAATTTTGCTTCTATGCCTGTTTTGCGAAATCTTACTCACGCTGAACAGCCAGCCTTCCTTGTGCGCGGCTGAGGACGGGCAGGTGCACTGTAGGGAAGACGGTCATAATTCTGTGAGGTACATTTTGAGGCCGTAGTATATACAAGGCTGCAAGCATTGGTTTCGAAACAGTGGGTAGGTGAAAGATTACAGAGAGCAATACATCCATCAGCGAGACATCGGAAACCAGATTTGTCCACGTCACCGAGAGCTCTTCATCCCAACGGCTGATTCACCCTCTCCAAAGTTATATATGTCTTAATAGAGACCATCAAAGCCTAAGAACCCAACGTTGAAAATCTTCAGCAGATTTACTGTCTGTCTCTTTTAACCACTCGGTCAGTCTCCCTATGGGAAGTAAGCTGAATGCTTTCCAGTCCAAATCGCACACCTGGGGAAACGCTTACGATCTCTATTGTGTGACGATCTACCGATCTACGTGCCCGTTAGTGTCATAGGCCTTTGAAAGAGACGTTCGGGAAATAGCAGCCCTATAACTCCTACCTAGGCGATTATTAAGAGATCAGGTTGTTTCATCCATATCACTCACCCGATCTTTGTGAAGGATATGAGCGCAAATTTTAGTGAGGCGTCCTGTACCATTTATGAGAAAATTTCTTAAAGTGGAACTGTTCTCTCAACATCCTGTGGAAATATGTCAGCCGTACCTGGTATTTAGGTATGAAGATATTTACAAAAGAATCGGAAGAATCAAATGTAGAGATTTTGACTCAGATTCATTTGGAGCTCATCGCTACGATTTATCCTGGAAGACCAGCTGCTTAAATCGAATTGATCTTATGCTACTCCCTGCAGAGCCTCCACTCTGTCCTTCCAGCTGCCACCCCACCTGTGGACGCCATCTATATATCAGTGCAAGATGGCAGTAATACGACAACTCATAGCGTGGTTATTCAGCTAAGAATAAAGACAAATTTCAACGCTCAGATTGAGATATTTAGCCTTCGAGATACAAAACAGGAACTCTGTAAAAAGCTAAAATTTTCAGCGACACAAACCTTGGAGTGGTTCCATCGGTGGGTAGGTGCAGTTCATGTTCCGGCTTGAACGGCTCGACCATGAGCTTCAACTTCTCCTCTGACACATCTGCCAAAGTTGCTGGATTCCACTGCCATTCCAAAACAATCCAAGCGCGTGTAAAAGCTCCTCTTATCTAAACCTTGTGCAGTAGTATGAAGAGGTCCAGTCTCTGAGCTTACAGACAGACTTTGATATACCCAAACCATAATTTATCAAAGAACTGGAGCGTGTATCAGCGGAAAAACTAGGCCATAATACATATTTCTGACCCTAATGGTTGAGACTGGAGCTAGATTAACATACCTTGGGACGATTGTCCTTCTCAACAACAACTGCTCTAATTCCCTGCATCATCCAAGAAAGATAGCTATAAGCGAGAACAAGGACAATCCGCTCTAGCCTGGTTAAGGGATTGTGCAGAGAACTGTGTTTAGTAAGAAGCATGTGTGAGATCAGCCGTATGATTCTTTACAAGATTACCTCATATAAATCATCAGAGATAAGTCCTCGTAGGCAATTAATGGTTTGGCGATATTCTCGTTGAAGAGCTTCGGGTAGTGTTCCAGTTCGGCCAATACGAAGCTGGACAGGGGTAAACTGTACTCATTAGTATGACGCTGTCACAGTCTAGCCACTATGGATTCTCCAGCCAGCTCGCACCGGCTGAGCAATCCTAGCATAAAAAGATCAAGTAATAGAACAAGAAGAAAGACCAAATCTGCACTCATTATGTGACTGTACTAGCGGAATGTTTCAAACAAAATCAGGACTTTCTTGCAACTTGAGAAGAAAGTGTCGTCATGCTAAAAGCAAGCACACGTGTAAAATAAAGAAAAGCAAGGCCACATACCGATTGTAAAGTCAGTTTAAGGCCAGTGGGAGAAGATCTTTTCAAGATCTTAAGGGGCTCTAAAGCCCATTGTTGGCCTGGCTCTTTGGATTCGGCCTCCTATACAAACGGCAGAGCTTCATGATGTCAAATCGCTACATTCATTGTCCGAAAATTTCCATAGAGTTTAGTCGGCATACTAAGAAGCTAATATGCAAAGATTGCAGAAAATAGTCAGCTCAAGCGTGAAAGTATGGATAGAGTCAAAAATGAAATGAAATTGTCTTTATTAGCTCTATGAAGAATCGAACAGACTAGACGAATGATGAAAACATACTAACGCTTCAACGATTTCTTCAACGGTGCTTTTTGAGAAGCATTTGTCGATCACAGCCAGCCTGTCCCTGCAGGTGCAAAGAAGAGAAAGTCGTATTTAGAATTCATACAAAGAAGGTTCATTCAGATGTGAGATTGCCTAGTATTATTTTAACGCTACTGTCCAAAGATATTGTTCGATTGAGCTTCTCACACTTCTCATACAACCTGATTTCTGGCAGCACCCTCAAGAAACTTGCAAGCTAATTTTCAAGGATATGGAACTTTCAGCAAACTAAATACCCCTCGAGAAACGCTTGCACCGGCAATTTCGAACCTACTTGATCAATATACTGTTTTCGCCGAGCTTAGCTGGAACTGTAAACTCTTTGATCGCTCCATCCACTACATTTGCGTCTCCTGAATCCAATTCCAGTAATCTTGCCTCTAATTGGGGTAGTGACTGCAACCAGCAAACAGATGTCCGCTTAGAAAGAAATGTTCAAAAAAGACGGAGACTGTGTAATGCTAGTCATTACATGTTTCGTGTTACACATCATGATCTTTTAGTTTTGCGATGAAGCTTAGAATGCGCAGTATGCGAATTGTTGGAGAACATGATTGGTTAGACAAAGTGTACCTCTGTGGGGACATAGTGGGTTGCCAGGCCGCATGTGTACATTTCAGCACCATCCAAACGTGCCCCGACTAATGCCATGTACTCCCCTGATATTCCACGTGACCTTAGCATCAATAGCCTCAAGAGTTGCGGACTTCTTACAATGACTTCTCGCTAGTGCACACATGATAAATATGAAAAATGACTGCAGACGAGATTTTCAGCATGTGATCTACACGGGATTACAGCCTCATGGCGTCCCTGTATGGTAAGTAGGAATTAAAGTAGGTACTTTGCATAGTCCCAGGATTTCTAATACTTCGTAAACTTAGTAGAACACCAAAAGGTCTAGATATTCATCCACATCGTCAGAGCACAAAATTCAGGAGTGCCCAATTCTGTGACACCAAGAAAGAGATTTGACGTACCGAGTGCTCCTTGCAGGTGTGACAGCCAATGAGATGCTCCACAATCTGTATGGAAACCTATAGCAGCTTCTGGCATTGCGAATACCTACCAGGACAGACAAAGCAGGGTAAAGTCAAATTTCAATGATCTACGAATTCAAGGTATGGCAACATCAATCTTAATAAGATGTGAAAGCATCATACGATGAGTTTCGCCTTTTCCCAGTACCATACCGTTTTCTCAGTGGAAACTCTGTACTTGCCGAGAACGGTCAAGCCCGCACCTCCGCCCATGGTTAATCCATGAAGTATACCGACCTGGTCGAGATTTAAGACGCAAGTAATCAATCCATGGTAAATTGGGCAAACAGTCGAGCAGAACTAAAGCCCAAATACTAACATTTGAAAAGCCTTGACTTCTGCTCAAAGTTCGGCAGATCCAAACAGGCATAGCAGCTATAGATAGCACTTGGATTTGCATTCAAAGGGAAGGGAAATATTCGAAACATATAACCGACCTATGCAACTCTCGAAGGGGAGTAAGATCCTTGTATACACAAGTAATTGACGCTTATTAGAAGATTTGAGTACGTACAAGAGGTTTTCCGTAGGTAGCAATGTGATAATCGAACCAATACTTGACATAGACTACTTCAGTCCATCCTTCGTCTGCGGCAATATGAACTTGTCAGCAGGTCTTGTACAGCAGTGCAACATCTCCCTTGCGAGCAAGTAGGTGAAGAACAAACGAGGCAATACACAGGAGGTAGGAAACTGCCTGACCAAGGAAAGAGTCATCACAAATGACCTACTCAGTAATTGACTTCCCACACATTCAAGCGGTTGGTACTCTGTTTGACAACACTTACTTGACTTCCCCAGATTGTAAAACATCCTGAGATCACCACCGGCACAGAAGGTTCGCCCATTGCCCTGGAGCACATTATTCGTGAGCAGGACATGAACAAGGCCGGACTTTTCAATTTCAAAATGCAGGGCCAGTCCGTGCAATGAGTAGAAGACGGTGTCCGAAAGGTCATTGGCTTTCTGTCAAGGTTTAAGCTGAACGTATACACTTGCATACCTTCAAAATGACCAACTTCACATTCTCATCATCCTCCCACTTTTTATAAGCGTCGATCATGCTGCTAATCTGATGACCAACAACATGAAGGGAACATTCGTCAGTTTCTGATTGTTGCCAAATTACATTTTTTTGAAATAATGATATGCATTATCAACATACCTCTCGTAGTCAGAAATTATCAGTCTTAAATCGGATAAACTTCAATAATCTCAAATAAATCAACAACAGTTTTCCCAGCAATTGGAGTAGCTCAATTTGTCTTACACGACAAGGACTGAATCGTTATCTTGATAAACAACACTAATGTTCAGTTTCCATCTTGCAGTGGTGTCAGCACCAGATCTCCACCTTTCGAGTTTTCAGTCCGATCTTTTGAGATTAACTTATACGGCATAACCAAGGAGTCACGAAGATAGGGCCACCCTACCATCTCTATGTTGATGCAATTCAGAACCCTCGGCCGATTTAGAGTGACAATGCCGACACCATTCTTCTCTTCCACCAAAAGAATCTGACAGCAAAAATATTGAAATTGTGAGCAGAGTCTAGAACTGATATCCACATCAAGCTCAAAAAATATTGGATCTGTCAACTTTACTTCAATCGGTCAGCCGATTGCGACGAACGAGTCAGGAGTGAGAAACAGACTTTCGGTCGTTGGAAGGTCGTACCTCTTCTGCTACTGGCTCGCTTCCTCCACTAGTTGGCTCAGCTGACACCATTGCTCTCGGCTGCTTGGTGAGCGAGTAGAAACTTTTAGAGGACCTGAGGACCTGTGGAAGAACGGAAGAGGGAGGGCTGAAGTGTGTGAGCTATGCCATAAATGTAAATACGAAGTCCGTAACAGGCGTATAGGCGTATCGATCCCCATTTTTTTAAGGATTACTTTTACAAAACGCATAGAGGTTTAGACTCTCATGTAGAACGGGCCTACACGTGTGACGATCGGACCAATATGACTTGATGGATATGTACGCTTCACTCCAGCAATCAGACGACAAACTTTACGACTAGACTGTGTTTAAGCGTGGCATTATTTGTGTGCACGTAAGCAGCGAATTGGGTGAAAATTATGCGCACATTTATGATAATCTGCTCAGTAGATTGACTGTACGTGACCAGGTTGATGGCCAAGTCTCTTGATGTGCACATACACCACAAAGGACAAGCAATGAACATTGTGCCATTTTCACAAAAGTATGCCGTCAATGTAGCAGACGGCTGACAGAAGACATGAATGCACCACTCTCAGCACTCTTCGTATTATCAATCTCTTAAATTTAAGAACACTCCTCTTGCACTGCAGCTGCAATTGCACTGCAGACACTCGACACTCGCAGAAAACTGCAAGTCACTAGGCTCAGTCGAAGTGCGATTGAAAGTTGCAACTTCGAAATTCGCAAACTAAAAATCCAGACGCTTGACTGGTCAGTTTAGACCGAGAACATCAGAGCGAACACATCACAGACGACAAATAAAGACGCGCGACGGAAGGCGTGCCACTACTCGAGGACACGTCTAAAAGCTTCTCACCGACAATCTTCACAGAAGCGAGTGCAAACTCGGCGAGCTTTGAGAGAATCGCAAACTCACCAGCAAGAAGAGGGCGAGGGACAGAGTGAGACCGTCGGCGCAGAACACAGATAAGGAGGATGTCACAGAGACTTGAACGAGTACGAGAATGACTCCGCAGAACGCCTGCAGACGAACACTCCTTAAACCTCCACAGCGGCAGATCTACTGACCCAGGAATCACGAGAATTTGCTCGCGCTCATACTCCGGAGAGAGGCCTCGATTTCCAGGCCCCACATGCACGCGGAACCAGAGTGGTCAGCAGAGCGAGCGATTGGCGAGCGCGCCGGACTCCCTGCAGGACTTCGAGCCGCGGGGTCGTTCGCACATTTCATGGATTCTCGACGCTCCAAAAGATGGCCACGCCGCGACGAGCTCCGCGGGCCCGCGGGCGGGAGCCACAGAGCCCGCTCTCCGGACGCCCGCCATCGAAACCGCGACTGGGCGTGGCTTCCGGTCAATGTTGTAGTCCAGTCAGAATCCTCCAGATGCGAGAGCACCTATTGTAGGGACGAGGACTCATGCATGTCTGAACGCATCTGGCCCGTTCGGTTGACTATCCGCCAACCGGATCTGCATCCTTCTCCGGGACTTGGGCTCGGACCGCTAGCTTTCTCCTCGCTCATGGGGTCACGTTTTCGGAGCCGACTGTCGGTCTTCGCTTCGGTCTCGGCACACCGCTGGGGACCGCACGCTGAACAACGTTCATGAGCTGCCTAGGCTGCCAGAGCGGATATTATGTAACGCTGATCAAGATTCTCAAGTTTCGAGTTCGGAAGAGTTTCGTCCGCCAGGAGAATTTTCTCCGCCGCTTAATTTTGTGCCCAATCGAAGCTGAAAGGGCTAAAAATAATCTCGAGAGGGCTAAAGAAGAAACCTGCGGGATTCGCCGAGATATTATGGGACAAACAAGTCGGACCGGAAGGTCTGACCTTCCGTACCCGTCAAACCTTCGGTCATCTTTGACTGCACAAAATGATTTTGCATCGCAGTTCGCTTTATAAATGTTCAGTTTCCGCTTTTTGCTTGTCGCTTTTTGCTCTTCTTTATTGTTTGAAGCTCAGCTTTTCTGAACCTCGTCGAGTGTATAGTAATTCCCTGCACTGTACCTACAGTGCTGTAAACTGTCGGTACCGCAAACCAGAAGACGGAAGGTATACGAATACGTCCTGATTCCGGTGACGCATTCTTCTCGTTCTTCGGTGCGCGAAGCGATGGGTGGGGACCGGAGAAGAGGATTTTCGCCGCATGGAACCGAAAGGAGTGGAGCGTGCGATGCGACGAAGAGGAGGAGATCACGTTAAAAACGTTCCGGCCCTCCGACACCTACGCTTCTAAGCTTGCTGGGCAGGTACATGTCCTGTAGGGTCTGTCTCCTCCTGTGTCCAAGGAAATCGATTGTTTACCCAATTTTCATTCAGCTGTCAAGTGCATGATCAAACATAATCACAGCATCATCTGAATATGGGTAACTTTACACCTCGACCACCAAGATTCCTTTGGTGGTCGAAGCACATTGTAAATTAGTCTATCGAATGTGGTTTCCACAGAAGTATATGATACCTGATTGTGTGAATTTTATAAAATTCTCAATGGATTTCAAGACTTTTGTTTCAAGTTTTACATATAAAATTATAATAAAAATTACTAAAAAATAAATATGTGAAAGAAATATGATAAGTAGTCATGAAATTATTAATTTACATATATAATATTCAGTAAAGTTTTAGAACGCCGATTCATATCACAGCATAGCATCAATTGATGTTATGAAGGAACACGATGCAAACATTGACATAAATCAATACACAATTATACAACAGTAAATTCTTCTAGATTACCTACAATTACATTAGGAAAACAACATCTTTTATCCGCAACAATTAACTTTGAGCTCTTAAAGCTTAACTTCGACGACAATTCTCTATATCACGAATTTTATGTGTACCGCTGGAGCCGCACTTTTCTCATAGGTGCTACTTGCTGTACCATTATGTCGAGGCCGAAATGCTGAATTTGTGTTATACATCTGCTTGCACTAGGTAGCTAAAAACGAGTCTATAAAAGCATAATCCATGGAAAAACAGATTTTTAAAGGATGGAACAACAAAAATGGTTAAATTAACTGGTGTAAGAGAATAAAGTCCAGTTGATACGATATATTGATCCCTGATTCATGTGTTACCATAAAAGATACTTTGACTAAGCAAATTAAATCACGGGTATGGTAACAGACGCGATTGTACATTAGTATTAGTTTGATTGTGAGGATCTGTGTACCACAAACTCTTGCGGTATGTGTGTTTGTGAGCGTCGCTTGGTTGTTGCACAATTGGTGAGCGGTATGTGTGTACTTCCCCTTGTTGTGATTGAAGGGTTTAGGATTGTTGTTGCTGTTTCTCGGGGAAACAAATTTGGTGATTCCATGAATTATCTGATTGAAGGAGCTGGAGATGAGGACTGGGTTAGCTTTATTTATAATTAATAAATTATTAACTGAATTTCCTCTCCTTACTTTGTAATTAATAAATTACTTAAGAAATTACTTCCTCTCGAGCCCATTCCGATCCATCAATATTTCCTAAGATTCCATATCTTATACTGCCTCGTCCATCGACGTGAAGTGCATCGGATTCTGTTGGTGCATCCCTACTCCAGATTTGCTGGGTGCGTGAGATGTGGAGGCAATGATGACAAGTGCACGAGTCCATGGTCATGTATCCTTAGCGATGGACGACTCGCGTTGAATGTTGGAGGTTGGTAGGTGCTGCTCTACTCCTGGCAAGTTTCAGCAAGTTTGATGCACCCACCGAAAGCTACTGTACTTATTTCTGCACGCTCTAGAGAAAAAAGCGAAAGGAAGAATCAACTTTGGAAGTTCGATGCCGGTGGTGGATAATAGCTCGCGATGACGCGTGGTCGAGAAGCTGAGCTTCCCTTTTCTCGATACACGTAATTCCGTTGCTCAAGGGAGGGAGGGAGGAATCGATTACCTGCTAGAATCATTGTGCGCCTCTATAATTTCCAATCAACGACTGCAGAAAGGTGATAATTGAACGTGTACATTTCAGATACCTTCTAACCATCAATGCAGACCAGCTCATACCGATGAGCATAAAACCCGACCACTTATCCTTCAAGCTTGCTCATATGAGGGAGATCATGCACAGAGATACCTCTACGTACAACGACAATGTATTTGCCTGTAATGCCAACGTGGACATCACCGTGAAACAAGGGAACGAAACATGCTACCGAAGTCAGATATCTGAACCTTCAGTAGAACTAAAGGAGAAACATTTCTTCGAGAAAGCTTAACGATATGTACTGCCATGAGAGGTGCATGATCGCGAGATTACTTGTCCAGAATCTTGCCTTGAAAGGAGGGAATAACTTACCCGATCGAAGTCAGATATTTTCACGGCACTCTTTGCCAGTATGCGCTGAGAGAAGAGCCAACGTATACTTTAATATTCGTGGGATTCAATAATGATGCTACCTTGGTTACATGGGAATATAAAATTCTTCACGATTCTCCATTGTTTTGAGCACAGATAATATTTTGAATGACTATGTTGACAAAGATGTATATGTCTCTTACTGAAACATGACCCACCACACCTACTATAATCTTCGAAGCTAGCAGCCGTGGGACAAAGGCGAAATCTATTCTGCTACTTTTATATTTTCATCAAACACGAGTTCTCATTGGTTGCTTCAAGTTGGTTCGGAGTTTAGCCACCAGCTTACCTTCAGAAGGTCAAGGAGTCAATGACCGGACCCAGACCAGGAGCGTGGATTGCTGGTGGTTGAGTCCTTCCTACCGACCTAACTCCAGTGATGCGATCTAGAACAGTACTTTATCATGACATGCAGACAGTATCTGCGTTTGTCATATAAGTCAGCCTGAACTTTCCACCTGATATGTGCAATTCGGTTCAAGTTTCGAGTATCCGTGTTAACTTTGGCTTAAATCTCGTTAGTTCTGTTACAGAAGTGTGATTTTCAAGGGCCTTCGTTCCAAAATTTATATAGCAAAATGGAATCCCTGTGAGTACAATCAATGTAATATATGTTAACAGTACGTCAGTCAGAGATAGCACGCGCTATGGATTGGTGGTGGGAGATAAGGGATGGAAGGAATACAGAAGAGGTTCATGCAAGAGGTGTGAAAATTTCAAAATTGCGGTCACTGGACAAAATAAGTTTGAATGAAGTAGGTCCATTCTTCAAGGACTAGACCGCAATCTATGCATAATTTCGCAGGCATTACTCCCGTGCTGCTTTTCTTCTTAAGGCATTGGAACATTTTTTAGTGGGAGTTCTATACACAAAGCGCCTTGCTTTTTTTGGACAACGAGTAGGGTTTTTACAAACTCGTGTTGGACGGCGCACGTGCACCGATTGACCTACCGTTGATCTGATATCCATGGCAATTCAACTTCTCAGCTTTCTGGATTGGGGAAGTGTTTTGAATCTACACACTAGACGCAAATACTTGTACATATCGCTTGCAAGAGGCAATGTCTTTTCTGCTAATCCGTCGGGTCAAAACTTTCCTTCTAATAAGACAATGGTACTAATGCTAATCACTCTTTTGTCTGTATATCAAGGGCTTCAAGAATCTGAATGTTGTGGTCAATCTCTCAAGGTTTCGAACGTCATTTGCTGAGTTTCACATCCTTAAGACCACACTATACCCACGAGCAAAGACAAAATGACAAGTAGCTTCATTCATTTGGGGGAGTGACTTTCTCAAAACTTGGAAGTTTTCGCTACCAAATCATCTGGAGAACGGATAGCTTCTCCGCTAACTTCTCGGCAAAAAACTTGAAACTCTTGTCGGAGTAACCGCTATACGAGCCTTTTCAATAAAAACTGATTACAAATGTAGGTGTGTCCACGCAGATCAAAACAGTGTGGGACTCCGTGTTCGAATTGCATGTGGAGTCTGGCATGCAAAGCCAAAGTCAGATCACTTATCAGTATATTGTGTGTAAGAGCGAGACACAGCTCTGCATGTCTTTCGGTTAACAGCTTATACGCAGTCACGAATGCCACTCGTATAAAATTCTTACAATTATAAGGTAAAAGGAGAGGAACGAACTCATGCATAATGAAATGCAGATGGAAACAAACGAGAATAACGGGAACCATATTTGAAGATCTTACCAGATCTGCTTGTACTGCAGCTGTAGTCGGCTTCTTCCATTGGTATGCCCGAGCAGGCCCGTCGAGCCTCAAGGCTTCAACTGGCATGCCTAGTATATCATCAACACGTATATTCGACTTCCCAACAGTTTCTGTACATACAGATGCAGCACAAGATGTGAAGATGACGTAGATTCAAGCCAAGACATGTTCCACTAAGCGCACAGAAGTGTACGTCTGGGACTAGAGAAGGTTCTTCTTCATCTTACTTGGTGGATGGGCTTGGGAAAATTTCGAATAATCAAGCGCATCTTCAACCATAGAGTCCGTGACAGTTCGAAATGAAGCAGCAGCACGTATCAACTTTCTGTTTAGCCCACAAGAAAGACAGCGAATGAAACGTAGCTCTTCCAACGTTTTCCATTTCAGTGGTTAGCTGTTAAAATAAGACCCTAAGTTGGTAAGTTGGTGAGTTTTGTAGGAGCAACAAGAAAAGCGACTGATTCAGGTACTCAAAGTACGCAGAAAAAATCTCTTTAGTTTCAAGCTCCGTAATAATGCAGTACTAAGTCTCCATCCAAGTCTACTAGCAAGGAAACACAGGTTTTCATCGTGATTGAACTCATCCAACGAAGCCGTACTTGAGTAATTCCTGGCGCTGTTGTACGGAGAGCGTGTCGAGCCTTTGAACACCTTCTATAGGCGCTGGTGGAGAAACTGGTCTTGATGCTGGGGGATGAGCGGTACTGTATGGTATGTTACACACGACACGTCGAGAACTTTTTAAGAATTAACGAATGCAAGTAGCCCAAATCGGCAGTCGTACACCGAGGTCCTGATCACCCTCTGAAGAATCAAAGGTCGCTCTCTCCATCTTGCCAAAGACACAAAGATGAATCCCTCCCGACCCATGTTTGACGCTCTGTGAACGATAGGCATGAAGCTTATAGTGGAAAATCATCCGCTTTCAGGTGAATTTTACCTGAGAGCAAACCTCTCGTCCTTCGAATCTGATCTGGTTGCATGTGATCTGTCGACCTCTTTCTTAGCGTCGATAAGCCTTTCCAGCTCAAGGTCCTCTAGACAGGCATATAGGAATCTCATGGCCTCGTCCCCAGTTTTTGCAGATGCCGATGATTCTTCACTTGCGGCCTTCGGAGGCTGCCGGCCATTCAGTTCAGACGTTAAAGATGTCAACTTAAGAAAGGAAGTGAAATTTGACAGCAGAGATCTCAAACAGGCACATAAGTAAAATGTCGTACCTCTGCAGATACACTCAGAAGCGCTTTTAATTCTTCCTCTTCTCGAACGGTGTCGGCTTCATCTCTCACAGCTAAAGCGGCTGCTCTCATTTCTTCTTCTTTTTCTGTTCACAAGTTGAATGTGAAAATCGGTATGGTCAATGACTGTACCCCAGATGTACATAACTTTCAACTCAGCTGAGAGGACACAGCATACCTCGAAGTTTGAACACCAGAATTCTTGTGGTCTTCTGATACATGTGATTCCTGAAAGATAGATCATCCTCCATCTTCAAAAGACACATCAACCAGCCAAACCGTGTTTCAGTGTTCGAGGTTAGATACGAGATCCACTCGTCCACTGAAACTCAGCTCGGCTAGATGATACGTCTAAAGTCTCCGACCTCCATGTATCTCAATAAACTTGATAGCTTCTCCTCTTACGATTTCGATCGCTATTTTGATTGGTCTACACAGCAGCTTCTTTCTGCTCTCTGTTGTATCTTGCACAGTGAGAGTCGATCTCACTGCGTTCCTAATGTCGCTCTGAGTTCATGAAATTTAGAAGCAGAGAAGGACATGCGACCAACCTCCTTCGCCAGTATCAAACTTCGATGAAGATCAAGATTTTCATTCGTCAGTTTTTCGTTCTTCTGCAGCATCATGTCTGTTTGCCGTGTGTGGTATGTCACTTCTTTCCTCAACTGTTCATTCTCCGTGATCGTCCTTTTCGTTTTCTAACACAATTTGTATCAAAGATTATTGATGTTCAAATTCCACTTCGATATGAGATTAGACAGAAGCGGACCGCAGGCATCAAATGACCTCAACTGTGTCTTCTGTCGGACAGTCAACTATGGGGTTCTGACAGGAACTCAAGCTTACTTGATGTAGCTGCTCTTCCATCAAACGGGTCATTTCTTTCTTCGTTTCCTCCACACGTCTTTCGATCTCCTTCTTAAGCCTTTCCCGCTCTTGCACTGCATTTCTCTCAACATCGCTAATTGCCTCTGCATGGTCCCTCTGTTCTTTCGCCAACTGTTCCTTTAAGCTGAAAAATAAGGCAAATGCAAGACTCATTATCCCACATCTTACAGAACCTCCGGAGGTATAGATGACCTCATTTTGGTGTACTAACGTAGAGCACAACAGAAACGCCATCTTACAAGAGCTCAGTACAGTAATCGTGATCGGTTTGAAAAGCGCCCGCTTGAAAGGATCCGTTCACTAGGCCTATGGTTTGGATTCCGAGGAAGCTCTACACTTGAAGCAATGAGGTGAATATCTTCGAGGAATGTATACTCATTCTGGAGCTGTTCCAGTATATCGTGTGGAGGTGATTCTTTGCCAGGCGTGAATTTCTTCCTGGTGTTTGGGTAGATGTACCTGACAGACTTCGGTTTCTGAATCTAGACTCGAAAACTGGAATCCGGAACAGCCCACATCGCAAGTTACTCTCCCCACTTTGCTCAATTAGCTATACTGGCAGACCTATACTGGCAGAGCAAGAAATAAGAACGACTCTCGGGCTCGAGCTAGTCCAACAACCATTGGTATAGACGGCGAGAACATACGAGATAAGTTCTGCTTCCATTGCAGCCTTCCGTAAGGAGAAGTCGTGCATCTCTCGAAGCTTCACATTGGCGGACTCCAGCTGAAGCTTCAGGCTGTTATACTGGAACTCGTGACGACCTTTCTCGTCTTCCAACTCTTTATTCAATCTCTCTATCGTTTCTTTCATGTCAGTCTCCAGTTTCGCAACCAGAGCTTCCAATTTCGCAATTTTCTCATCTTTCTTGGCCTCCTCACTGATGCACACAGAGCTCTAATTTAGAGTGTCACATGTATCCAAAACCCTAAAGACTTGCCGTCTGTTTAGGGTTATGGTTATCCTCAAACCAAGACTTCGTAATAACCAGCATGAAATTGAAGCAAGAGTACAATTCAGAATCAGTTTCGTGAAAGTAGGAAATTTTTTTAGAGGTCGTTCTGTTTTAGGGAACTCATATGCTCAGGCATTTCCTTCAGTTCAGATGTTGTAATAGGCAGATATATGAAGAGTTCTCTTCCAAAATCGACGTTCTAAGTTTATGTGATGGACGAAAAATAAGCAGCAAGTGTTCGAGATTTCTAGTCCCCGATTTGGCGAATCCATAAGTGCTGAATTCATACCGATCTCGATATCACTCCCGCTCAACCTTCCTACTGATGGATCCTCTGAACTCACGGTGTAAATTGAGGAAATGTGTCTGATAGGATAAGAGACCTGTTCAGATATGCGACTATTTTTTCGAGGTTCTCAATTTTCTCCTCAGTCTTCTTCGCCAGAGTCTCGATCATTTCCTCCACATGCATGGATCTAGTTTCCAGCTTTCTACATTTGTCTTCCATGACAATGACCTCCATGTCCTTCTGGATACAGAGGTTTCTGTACATGGTCGCGTCATCTTGCTTCCCTTTTTTGCCATCTTTGTTCGCCATTTTTCAGAGCTTTTGCCGGCACACTTGCTTAGAAGCAGATATGAGCTGAATCGTTAACCAGTCGAGGACCAGTTATTCGAGGGCGACAAATTTTGCTTGCCTCTACGCAATGACGATTCCATCGACCCTCATGTAGAATAGTGCATGCAATTCAGTCAGCAGAGACTTCACTCTGCTTTCCGGAAAATTGATAGCTCCCATCGTCATTCGACAAATTCAAGTGAAATCCCCCGACCTGTACATGTGCATATGCATGAACTCAGACACTCCTGATGCCAGAACCGTCGCTCTATTTTTCACATGAGACACCAACAACTTCAGTCAAGGTTCAAACACGAGGATTGAATTCGTTACAAGGCGAGTTTGCTTCCTCGGTATCTGCCCAAGCTCCTACCGCCAACGTAGTAGCATTCAACGATTTTTACAAAACCTCTCATTTCACAGATGCACACGCTTGACCATTACAGATGCTCAGTTTCTTACGGAGATGATGACACGCGAGAAACTCTTCTTCACCTCGAAGACTCACCGGAGTCTGATTCCATCGTCTCCTGCACACAATACGCGGGTTGCTAACCTTGGGGTACAAATTGTCGTGAACGAAGCGTTGCCCATCTTCTCCGCACGTTCCGAATGTGGTCGAAAGAGCCATGCCCACCTTCTTTTCCGCATTCACTCCTCTCACTCGAGCCGGCAGAAACCCCAAATCAGATTGCATGATCTCTCACGATCCGCATCCTTGCGAGCAGGCGAACGAGTAGCTCAGGAGCTGGATCACGATGGTCGACGGGCGGGGAGAGAAATCACCTTCTTGTAAGAAAGACTCAGGACTGCTACCTCGACTTCGAAATCCTCGTTCCAATGGCTGCCGAGGAAGGAGCATTCTCACGACGAGCGCTGGATGGCTTTCCGCATAATTGGGCACAGAGCCCCTGGCCCCCTCAAGCAGATGAGGCTGGTCGAAAATTCGCTGGGGGACGAGGTCCGCAGGGCGAAGTCGGTGGCCCCCATGGAGGAAGGCGGATGCAGAGCAACGCGAGAGAGCCGGAGTGGGAAGCCAAAAGACGCGCGAGCGCAGCAGCTCGAGAGAGAGTAAGGCTCGCGTTCTAGCAGGTAGCAGCAGCCGCAGAGGACAGATTCGGATCGCCATACCCCAAAGTCACGATAGTTCCGAAGCTCTTCGTAGAGCTCGGGACATGGCGATCCACCACTCGCGAATTCTAAACCTAAAACTCCACTCGCTTCCGGCTGCCCTCAGGGTCCTTCATGCATACACTCTTCGTCGGCGATGATTCAATTTCATCCTGGACTCTCACGCCTCCGACCAGAAGAAACTGGGTCCGTTGAGGATGGCACCTCCGGATGTTCTCCAGAACTTCACCACTTCCGTGGTCCAGTCTTCGACGTTTATCAGAACGCAATTCAGCGCGTGTGTGAAGGTAGTCTACATTCATCGAGGTTTTTTTTCGGGGCCGTAAAAAACCAATGTGCGATCCTTGTTCTCAGGTTCGGTATATTACAACACCATCGCTATCCAGGACTGTAGGACATTACCGTCCTGTCCTGGCGACCGAACGCTACTGGGAGAGGGCTCTCATGCGCGGTGCTCTTCGACATTCGACCGCGCTGGATTTGAATTTTCGATTCTCGAGGAGATATGGAAGGTTCAGATCCCTCTGGCAAACACCGAATTGCAGAAAACATAACAGATTCCAACACGGTGGGAAATGCAAATTGGAAGTGCCCGATGTTACAGGGATTGGAAGGCTCGTAGCTAATTCAAGTTCTGATGTTACTGCTGTGCGCGGAAAGAACGAGGTAGCGAGGTCCAGATTCTTCACCATGTGAGAGAGTTCCTCCTGGATTCTAGTCCGAGATTCAGATTCATTGACTCCGTGACACAGTGACCGTGCCCTACGGCAAATGTAGCTTTCACTAAAGAGGCACCGAGAAATCGGCAGAAAGGATGGAAACACGACATCAAGTGCATGAAACGAAACGGGTAACGTGGGGCTAGGCGAGGCTCCAATAGCACCGCAATGGAAATTGGACCCACCGCAGCTCAGACATCCGACATGTTCTGCCTCGAGCTGTGACCGGGAAAAAGGCGAGGCTATGCTTTGACCCAGTCATTCCCTAGTCTCGAGCATTGCAACTGCTTGCGGTCTGGCCCTCCAGAGTCCGGGTTAGCAATGCGTATCTTCATTATTCACTGGGAACCAAATTAGTTCTTCTGCCTGATTTTTCCAGACCACAAGCGTGCGGAACCTGCTGTACACAGAGGACAAGAGACAATTATTGCGAAAAACAATCTGATTCTTCCTGCTCGTCGACAGCCGAGCTTCCCGGTCTGTACCTCTGTATTGTTGCAAGCAGCCCAGCGCCCGGTACCTGCTACGTCTCAGCAGCCACACTGACAAGCAGCGGTTTGCTGAACGAAATGCTCAACAAATACACCACTTTTGCGAGCTGCACGACAGTACGATGTGCATCGTAACCATCGGATCATTGGCATCGCCTCAGGCTCGCTGCCTGCCTCGCACGCACGCGCGCTCTCCGAGGCACACTCGAGCGATCAGATCAGTACGTCATTTACCCACTTCTGAGCTCCGGACTGTACTTCACCACCTTATCCGACTCGAGTTCCCAGTCGGATGCGGAACCACGTAACGTCGGACAACGTTCCACCGACTTGTCTGTACTGCGGTCAGATCCCACCACGTAATACTCTTACTGTACAGCCTCGGCCGTGGAGGAACACGTTGGTTCTCGAACGTGCTCCCGGCCTCTGCCAGCGCACTCACTCTGTGCGCTGCTGATGCATAGCCACAGTCTGCCTCATGGTTGGGAACAGCTCGGTCCCGGTACAGGAGTCGGTTCGTCGTTAGGTGAATGAATTGCTACACCGGCATGCACATGCCGCACGATCGTTCGACGTAGCAGCGGACGCACATGTGACAACGGCAAGGACATGCACAATTGTGTGCAGTGAGTGAGTGAGGGACTGACTGAGCGACTCGAGTGCTCTCCTCTCTCCTCAGCAGCGCTGGTGTCGAGTCCGTGGACCGATGCGGGATTGTAGAGATGGAGATGGGACACATCGAGTCAGGACGAGGTCCATGACAGTTACGTGACGAGGTGGTGGATCTGTTCACCAGAAAGTCGCCCGCCCATCCGTCCGAGGTCAAACCTGCATGACTCACGACGTGCATGCACCGAAGCTTGTAGTGCGTTCCGCGAGTCCTGTGATGAAACTGCTGTCCTTGCGCCTCCGTCGAGCGGGTGGAAGGAAGTCGGAGCAGTAGTTTCGCTCTGGAATCTGTTGCGCTCACGATCCTCCTGAGCGTCTGAAGATGCGAACCCAGTGCTCGCTCGTTTACCTCCAACGCTAAGCATGATGCACCCTCACGCTCAATCCTCCCCATCGTACTGGAAATAGAATGTAAGATGGGCCCGGCACAGCACAACGCAACGCAACATTCTGCGGTTATCCAAGTTTGGAGGCGGGCAAGAATCTCAAAAGGATAAATGGACAGCTTCAGCAAGAACAACCAGGAATCCAGACATGACGATTTCAGGACGTCAGCTATCAACAAAGATTCACTGGCAATTCTTCCACACGTGAAAACAAAAGGAAGAATCGAGCGAAAGAGTGCAGCACATTATAGGAGTCCCGATAATGCGAGTGCAGGACACCGATGGAAACGAGTCAATAATGGCATTCACGGAGGACTAGAAGAGCTCAGAGCATGTGTCAAAGATTAGCTGTCCGAGCAGCCAACTCTTTATTCCTTTAGGAGAGCCGCACCAGAGCATTTCAAATTAACAAAATTTGCGAGCGCTACTTGTTCTTATATCGAAACCATAAGGAGAACTCGGTGGCCTCCTGAGAGAGGACATCTTAAAGACTCCGAATTATACTTTTTTCTATAATTCGTGAGATGGATATTATACAGATCGCACTGCTCTGCACAGAATTTTGTACATGTATACTACAATGTCGTCGAGTTTCTCAAAGAAACATAGTGAAGTAGAAAAACTAAACTGGTTAGATTAAGCAGAGACAACTTGTCATTCTCCTGGCACTCTAAAAGCGCTTAACGATGCGGAGGGCTCTGAGTCGAAGTCACTGTATCCACAGCCTTGCTGTTGGTGTCAGCTTCTTCCCAGAGCCTATCTTCGATGTAGGTGCCTTCATCGTAGTGCATAAGTTCTTTCATTGATTGGGCAAATTCGCCCATCGACTTCCTGCATGGCCACGAGCCATTCCTCAATAAGTTATCGTCATCGCACCACCCAATCAGACGTGATTCTGGCAACGGAAGGAATGTAATGCTCCGAGAATGAATCAATATATGACTTCTACAGCGCTGATTGAACGTTCATTCGACGGAAAGGAGGATACGACGTCTTACTTTAATTCCTGCAATTTGCTACCGAAGGCATCTGAAAACTCCTGCAGTTCCTTCTCGATTTCCTGCGAGAAGATCACAACCATCAAGACATGCGACGGCCTTTTGCTTTGGCTCTTGTCGGACTGAATGGCACGCATCCCACGACACTCCCAGCGAACGAAGGAACGAGCTAGCGACTCTACCCGGTATTCATCACACACAAACCCAAAATGGCACACCGAATTCCGGCAGGAGAACGTATTCACCTGCAATTTCGAGCTGCACACTTCTCGTCTGTGCCGCTCCTGCCCCAACTGCATCGAAGCATCCTGTATGGCCGACTTTCTTGTCAGTCCACCACAGACCCAAGGCGTAGCCATGCTGGCCATCGTCGCAACAGAAGACGAAAACGAGAAACTGTGAGCCATGTGGGGTGCCAATTAATTTCTTTCGTGGACGGGAGTTGAAAGTTCAAAAGTGCAAGACTGTTGTGCCAATGGGGCATTCCGAGATAGACTGCTGGTATCCAGATCCTTGTCACGTATTCCAAGTCAGTGTTATGGGTGCAGTTGAGGGATGATCTAGGCTACGATCGACCCGGAAGAAAGCAAGGAGCAATCCGTGGACTCAGCCTCAGAGCTGATCCTAAACTGGTCTTCTTTACAAAACAAGAGCTTTTCAATTGCATTCACAAAGCACACGACAACGACGACGACGACACACAACGGAAACGGTGAGAGGCTCTGATACAGGGAAGGGGGGTCGCGGTTCACGAAAGGGCACTAAAAGGGGTCATGGATGGATGAGTGGAGTGGTACCGGCAGATTCCGAAACAAGTACTGATCAAGGGCGCCTGTTGGGCTTATAAACTCATCTTCATGGACTTCTTCGTTACGCAAGTGTTGTAAAGGCATCTTCTCTTCACAATCCTTGAGCTTCTCAGATTGTGTTGGTTCAGTCCTATTCAGCGTCTACGATTTCACAAAGACAAGTGAGTTAACCGGTTAACTTGCTGATCGAGAGCGGTTTCTGTCTCCAAATTCCAAGAGGTCAAGCGAGCTCTGTACATTATAACACAACATTAGCTCGTGGGAATGCTCCCGTTCCCGCTACTACTCCCATCGCATGCAACCCTCTCGCTTCAGTGGGAAAGGCTCTTCTGAAATAACTGTCATCCCTCAGCTGAATCTCAAGGCAACGGCGGCAAAGCGACAGCAGCAGCGGGGAAGCGCGCTTCGGCATGCAAGTGCTCTAGGGCGGCGAAGCGCTCAGGGATGCGGCATTCTTGAAACTCAAACAAACGAACAAACTCGGCTGCCTACCGCACACTATCGGGTACTCCTCTTCAGTCCTCGTGCTTCCTTCCTTCCGTCCCACACGCAAGAAACTCATTGCACTAGAACGAAGGAAGCTTGAAATCACTAGTACATTGCACATGACATCATCGCCGCTGTCATGCTTTCCCTTACCTTCTTTGCTAGAGTCGGGTCGTAAACCTGAAAGTGAAACAGAATCGAATCAATAAAGATTCCGGGCACATCTTCGAAATATGATCAGTTTCGTCGTCTCGCTCAATTTCGACTCAGTGAGGGAACTGAAGTTGAATGAACACAAAACACACTCGCTCCAAGTCAACACACGAATTCAAGAAGTTGTGACGCTTCAAAGACAGGACAGGCGAAGGCCCGTCGCTGACTCCATGGAGCATCTGTGACTGCTGGTACTGCCTCGAGTCCGACGGCGACTACCAGCCACTCCAAGGACAGTGCATACAGAAACCAAGCACGGACGTGACACAATGCGAACAGGGTGACGCAGTGTGAACATTCCAACTCGGTCACACTACCATCTTGAGGAAGAGGAGCAGAGAGACAAAACTGACGAGAAGCCGCCACTACAGCATCCTTCCGTTCTTTCTTATCTTAGAAAAGCTCAACGTTGCTAGAATTCGACCAAGAACCAGAAATCGTAGAGTGAATCCAAGCAGCAAGCAGGAAGGTGCTTTACATTGCAGTGAAGGCGTGGGCATTGAACTTGAGAATTTCTAGTCAAAGAACGTGCACAGCAGCAACAGCAAAAGTAGATATGAAGGCACAGGCGGTAAGACAGATATTGCGCATGATATAGGATAAGTAAAACCACCTTCGGTCCAAGAATTTTGTGAGACATGCGGCCTATCAAGGCAGTAGTGCAATCGATCCTGGATTCCCGATCGGAAAGATTAGTACTAGAGTCCAATGTCGACGCTGGGCATTATCTTGCAGAGGAAGAAGACGCAAGTTCTTCCATTCTTCTTATAGACAAACTTAAGCTGTTGGTAATTCAAGACTGAACGCGTTCCTCACCCTACACGCTCGCCTCGTTCAGCCACCAATTACTTCATCATCGAGTGAGGTCACGAACGCACGCACCCACAGAGACTCGGTTTAGGACTAGAGAGGATTGATGGATGAATCGAGAACTAAAAAGTAAGCAGGCGGCAAGGAAAAGAAACGAAAGCAGAGGAAGTTGAATTGTGCGCTCTGAACTATGTTCTTCTATGTGCTGCCTGCTGCCTGCTGCTGCTGTGCCTTACGACGACGCCTCTTACCTGTGCTGCCCTGCTTGATCTGGGGACCATGCTACCCCTCCTAGCCACTCCTGCTGGCCCAGACGAGCCATTTGCATTTAGGCCCGCAGTGAAACAAGCAAACGCACCAGTAACCACACCCCTGCGCTTCTTTACTCTAAGAGCACGTCGAATTCGTTTCTCTCTTTCCCCTAAACCAATTCCACTCCTCTGATGGAACGCCTCGCCGAAGCAGGCAAACATATAACCCGACGCAGTCATCACATCCTCATAAAATCCAACCCACCAACACATTCACACAGCCCCCTCCCTGCCCTTTCCTCTCCTCCCCTCCCCACACCACAACACACCCCTCCCCACAACCCCGCCCAGCCCAGCGCACCCGAATGTTCCAAAACAAAATTGAAAGTAAAGCCAAATTTGCACACCCGCTACAGGGGGCGAGCTCGCTCACTTGCTCACTCGTTGGTTGCGCAAGAAGAGTTGCAGCTGTCACTCCCACGATTCTTTATACTCATCCTCACGATCCTCCCCTTCCTGCTCCCTCTCCCCCTCCCTTGCTCCCTCCCCTCTTCTCTCTCTCTCTCTCTCTCTCTCTCTCTCTCTCTCTCTCTCTCTTCCTTCTCTCCTCCCCTCTCTACAACTCGACATCCATTCTCTTCCGCTCTCCCCTCCCCCTTCCCTTCCGTCTCACTTTGCTCTCTTTTTCAGATCAGCACAGCTTCTCTTCTCTCCGCTTCGCTCGGTGTGCCCCACACACTCTACAGCCCTGCACTGCACTGGTCAGGTCAGTTCCCCATGCTCCTCCTGCCACTCCCTGCCACCTTTCCTTTCCTTTCCTTTCCTCGCCTCCCCTCTCCTTCCCTTCCCTTCACTTCACTTCACTTCCTGCCCTGCTGCCCTGCACTCTCTGACCTCCGTGCGGCTGCTGCTGCAGCTGCAGCTCTGGCCAGGGCCTCGCCTCCTCCTGATTCCCGAATCCCCCTCCCAACCCTCGTCTCCCCACTTCTCTCCTCCTCGTACCGACCCCACCCTCTTCCTGCCCTGAGCCCCGCCCGGCTGCCACGCCCAAACCGCCAAGTCGGCCTGCGGTTATCGACCCGGTCCGTATCCACACGCCCCCGTCAACACGACCCCACTCACTGACCGTAACTATTTTACTCACCCTTCCGGCGTGTGACCATGCGGCCAGAATCAGCGTTTATGTACGTACGGTGTATTCCGGCTTCACCGAGCCACGCTCCAACTAACCACTACGACGCTGAGATTCACTCCGGCTTCGTGTGGGGGTTTCCCGGCGATCTGACACGTTGGGTCGATCCCCGGCGAGGACCGCTGTAGCCCGCGTCATCGCCGAGAGCAGTGTCGTGAGTCAAATCGTACCGCTTCGTTTCATAAACGTGATTCCGGATTCCCTTACGCGCGACTGGCGCTCGCCGGTCGTGCCGAGCGTGTTTGGCCACGCTGGCAGTGCATGGTGCACTGCCTCCGTGGAAGGAGGGCCGAACGGCCGACGACTCCCCAGGCACCAGGCCCGGCACCGCGAAGCACTGGCTACCGGTCGCCGACTCAACCTACGGGGTCCAGGTCACCCGATCACCGGCCCTCGTTCACAGTCGCAGTCGCAGTCTCTGCTGCTTCCAAAGTCAGACTTTACGTCGACGGGGCATCAATTATTCTTCGTCGGGACAGAGCCTGACAGCGGCGACAGGCGAAAGTGGACCTCCTTCATGGCGGAGTGGAGCCGGCCTGCGACGGTGGGAGCACGGGCCGAAGGCGGACCCGGTGAGAGTTGGCGGAACGAGGCGGACCAGAACACAGATTCTATGTCCAGACAGCGGAGCCGAGCAGGGAGAGCACTCGCTCGCTTGTTGGGGGCCATTACTGCTAACAGTGCGTCTTGTCGCCCGCAAATACTTCGGCAATAAACGGGCGACAAAAGGCATCCCCGCCGCTTTGTCCGACGCTCCATGACCGGCTTACGGATACGGAAGTCAGCGGGAGGGATCCCGCCTTCGCATCTACAGGCCCTACCAAAATAGGAAGCCCCCTTCAACGCCGAGGCTGCTGCGCTCCTCATTCTCCTGAACGTCCCCAACTTCTCGGTCCTTCCAAAATAGCCCACCCACGTCAGCGCCGCGCCTCCTGCCCTCCTCCTCGGGCTCCTGAATGTTTCCGATCTCTCGGTCCCCGGAGTCCCGAGGGTCCCGATGCCCTCGACCCGCTGTGGAACTCAATCCGCCTTCTTGTTCTAGAGCCCGAACACTGCGTTGCAAGTTGACCACCACAAACCGTCAATGGTTAGTGTCTGTCCGAGCTGAAAGGGTCAAAGGCCATTGTTTTCCGGGTTCAATTTGCAGGCCATGTATTCTAATCTATTCTTCTCTATTCTATGAGGAGCAGCGGGCCCTGATTCTCGGACTCTCGGGGGCTTGTTGGCCTATCCTCCCTATCGGTTCTATCCGACTTGTTGCTGGATCGCGGATATTGTAAAGCACAGTATTCGGGAAATCCGTGGAAGGTCGTCGTCCATGAGCGAAGAGCGACGACTAAGAAAACACATTACGAGGACGGACTGTATATCTAGGGCGAGGGCCTCGACCGGCAAACAGCGTACACCAAGCGACGTCCGCTTATTCTTGGAACCTCGCTGAGAACTGGGAGAGTGGGATTTCCGGAGATCGATAACATTAATGGCTTGTTTGCAGTTTGGGTGATTCCGGTCTGTCTCCGCGAATAAATTCGGCATGATCAATGAGAAGCAATCCGCGGAAAGTGCTTTGTCCTAAGAGTACCCTCGCGCTTCGCAAATGGACCATGGGAGTATCTTCTTGATGAGCCATTTTCCATCAGTATGATATTGATGGAGAATGGATGGGCTCAGTTATGACGCTGACCTCAATCAGACGTGTTCCTACTGTTTGATGTGAATTGCGAGTTATCCAACATGAGTGACATGATGAGTTATTGTGGGAGGTATAATACTGGAGATACTAGACACGAAAACGCTGCGGACGAGATCACCCGACGATGGAGCCTTGAGGCATTGCCCTTATGAAGCCATCATGGGGCCAATTTTCTCGTCACATCGAAAGAGGAAATCTCGAGGCCACAAAGTGTTGCTTTGAATGCATTCGTTGTGAGCATCGAGAAGCCAGATGATGGACGGAAAAGATAATAAGAGTCTTCTTCCTCCTCACCCTCCTCCTGTGTCACCCTCCCTTCCGACTTCCCAAAAGAACCTAAACAGCTCTCACGTGGAGTCCTCGAGCAACACCATCAAATCTCCTTCCATTCCATCGGAAATTAATAACCCTAGGAGTACGCAGGTTTCAGAAATTTATGACTCGTCCTTTAGGGTCCTCGAAGACATGAAATCTTCTACTTAGATTCCTGTGAACCATTACGTCGACTTTTTAATTCCCCATTTCCCACCTCAACCCAGTCGCCCTCGCCCGATTCCGAGGTGAGCCTTGGCCGCTTTGGCACTGTTTTCCTTTGCCTTCACTCGGCTCGAGCGGGCGCCTCTAATTTCCTGCGGAGATTCGTGGATGCAATCTGTACAATGCGCATCACATGACACAACCCTCGAAGCTCGAAAGAACGCCTTCCCCGTCCCATCCCATCTCATCCAACCACATTCTACTTACAACATGACCTGATCTCAAACACCCACGTCCTACCGAGTAATAGCCCAGTTCTCAACCCTAACCCACCAAATCAAGACATTTTAGACGACCTGCTGCTGCGACGCACGGTTCAAGAAACCTGCTGTACAGTCTAGTCGATCGTGGAGGAAATGATAGCGCAGCGCAGGAAGGCCTGCAGCCAGGACCGAAGTCGGGACTCGGGAGCTTTTTCTGGGTTCTAGATTAGATCACGCTCATGGGGAACAGCCAGAAGCGCAGAGGCGAGTGTTCGTCCTTATCATTTGGCGTTCTTGTCGTGTTGGATGCGGGCAAAGTTGGCAGAAAAGTCCTTTCTGGGTCTGCGCACCTTGCTCTTGACGTCTACCGATCCGCAGTCAGCCATCCGCCCCAACCCATGCACCGCGCATGACAAGAAGCAAGACAAGTACGGGAAAAACGACAAATCTTCTGGAGAGCCACTGACCGAAAGGAAAAAGCGACCCAATTTGAGTATCCTGCACATGCACACGATCGACTCGACCAGCTCTCGCGCAGTTCTCCGTCTCGATCACCACTGGCCTCCACATTCTCCCGCTGCCGAGTTAAAACACTTCACAGCCAGGACCGCGTAAGTACTGTGGTTTTCGAACCCCTCGTGGAACGACGAAGGAACGCAGTCTTCCTACCTACCACGGTCGTTGCCTTCTGAAATCGAGCTTCCGGTCGGTCACCACGAGCCTCAACGTCGTAGCATCAGAACTTTAGGGATCTGCTGTACTGGTAAACGAGGTGGGTGCTAGATGGGGTCTTCATGTTCTTTTTACTTTAATACTCGGTGCCCCTTTGGAAAAGGGAAAATTTAATAAATAACATTGAACAAGGCATAAACGGGGGTCGAGTATACCTGCGTAGGTCGTTAATCATGAATGATGCCGGTGATAAAGGTGAGAGTACAAGACAAAGGGAAGAATGTAAGACAGACGGTCCACGACTCCTCGTCATTGGTTCCATCGAGAATTATTTTCCACAATTCATTTACATTCTTGTTACAGTGGTCGACATCAGGACATATCGGAAGACAACTTTGGTGTCATGCCTGGATTTCAATGTGTGCTCCCGCTTTTCAGATTCTGGTGTTATATTGTCTTCCCAACGGGAACAGTCAATCAATGGTCAAGACTAATGAACCTAAAGCTAGAAAGACGAGAGAAAGAAGAAAATTTGAGGATAACGAAGTAAGTACAGCAAAAAGGATGAAGAGAGAAGAAGATACCTAATAATATTAATATAGCACTAAGCATGGGAAGGCCCCGGGCATGTCGGACAGTGTGAAACCAAATTGGGAGGATGGGCCTAGGAGATAGTGGGGGAGGGGGATGTGAAGAAGACATGCATCCCAAGTGATCACGACGACACACTCCAAAGAGTTTCTCCCGTTATGACATTAGGATCTTAGTAGGTGGCAACCCCATCAACAAAAGAATGAAGTATATCTAGCTACTTGAAGTACTTTTTTAAGTAAGAAAGCTCATACATACCCTAATGATACATGTACTTACACTACTGGTAGTCTTCAACAAGAAAGAGTCTATCCAAGTAATATAACGACACATATGGGAGTACCCGTCATTTCCTACATGAATAAAACAAAATTGTAAGATGAAGCTTGCCCAATAACTACACAATGGAAAAGATTATCTTTATACTACAAACAACACAAGCAACCAAAGAATGATCATCAACGAGATTGCACACATTCTTTTCTAAGTATTACAATACATACATAGACTATGAGAGACAAACAATAGTGCTACAATATCTACAATTTATAAATAGACTATATAGTATGCTAAAGACAATGATTTCCTTCTAACAACTGGAAGCGCAATCTCTTGGAGCAAATTTTCATTTACATGTTGAACTGAACTTTCATAAGACTTTCACAGCCAGAGATCAAAGATATGATCTATATGCATAACCATACTGTTAAATACTTTTTGTGCTAGTACTTCACCTGTCGCGTGAATTTGACTTATCGTCACTTAGTTACTTACAGTACCTCTAACCACAATTTTTTCATGTATGCCGTTGACATTACAAGTTTTTGAAAGGAGCTACGGATGATTAGTTATCTCAGGCTACGATGTACACATTGCGCACATCAACAAATTCTAAAAAGCAAAGGATAACTATGTTTTATTGACCTAAGTTCTCAAACAGTGATCTTTGTTTCCAGCAGATGATTGTGCCACCAATGTTAACACCGGAATCATGAAATCGAATGGTGGAATTGCAACTAAATGATCTTCACACCGGAGTTAAATATTTGGCAGAATGATGACATCAGAAAGATCAGTTTCAAAAACTTATTATAATTTAAGTAATTGAAATATATGAACTTTTCATTATAATGAACTCATCAAATAATGGTGAAGAAAAAATAAAACCTATTTCTTCAAATGTCTACAATTGACCATTATAAATTAACCTTTGCCATTATAAAATATTTTAAACCATTATCACAATATGAATGTATCTATCATACTAAGCAAGTTCAGTTTGAGCATAAATTTCCATCTCAAATAGATGAATTTCTCAGTTTATAAATGATGAAAGAAAAAAAATATAGGAAAGTGTCTTCATATATTATACAATTGGATCTATTATGATGTAATTCATTGATGTGTACAGAAAATAATATCGAAATTTCGGCCTACTTTATTTTGAAGAATCAAGTTGTTCAACGTAGCAGGAAGATTATTGGCCTTTGGGAAAAAAATTTATTATTGCAAAATTGTGTCAAACTTACACAACTTGAACACTTATTTCCAAGTAGTTATGAAAAATGGAACCTAAAAAATTATATATTTGAAATAAAATATAATGGTAAAGATAATTTTAACAAAATAATCCCTAAATCTCGAAAAAATTAACATTCTAACTTTCAATTTTTTGAAAATTTTAAAGCGTCTATCAAACGATTTTTGACTGTGAAATACAATCAATGAAACACATTTTATAGCATGTATTCTTAACATTTATAGTTAATCAAAGATCACTTATAAATATTTTTATACAGTTTATGAATATTATTCTAACCAAAATATTCAAATAAAATCTAAAGTGGAAATTGATAGTTGAATTAATAATTCAAATACTAAAATAAAAAATGTGATTAATAATTCATAATAAATTTAAGTTTCGAGCAAAGCTAAAAGAACACTGTTTTAAAAAACTTTTCATATTAATTTTTTACCAGAAAAATGAAAAAAATATTTTCATCTTCAATTTGATTCATGTATCAATTTTATTAAATGAAGTATTAATAAAAATATGATGGTGTACTATTATATTATTAATTTGATTTTAAAAATACAAAAAAATTTGTAACAAACAATTTCATTTTTTGCTTTTTTTAATATTTTTTTCTATTTATTCATTTAAAAGATAATAAACTAAAATTTGCATATGACTTATTTTTATGTCAAAAGTTAATGATTTTGTAAATATATCCAATTCTTTATAAGAAGTTAGAATTGTATACATATTGTGAATATAAATTATTTAAAAAAAGAGTCTCCAATTTTCCAATTTTGGAAAATTGGAAAATACACAAGTCTAAATTCTTCAAATTCTTAAAATTCTCCCTTAAAATTCTTCAAATCATTTCAAATATCACAACTTAGATATGAATTAATTTTTTTAATTAAAAATTTCAGAATTTTAATCTTGAAATCAGTGCTTTAAATATAAAAATTAATATATTTGATTTGATTTTTGTAGCGTCAAAACAAGCAAGTGACAGGAAACACTCTAGACACAAAATGTAATGTGGTTCATTCTTTCAAAGTGGCTACGTACTCCGAGTACACGTAGCACTTTACTTCAGGTTTTTCACACAAGACAAACATCATGTACAGACAGAAGCCAGGTATTTATCTTTAGTCCATGCAATTGTACTACCTAAATAAAGCTAAAATAGGTGGTTACTCCTTAAATGGAGTGAACCTCAACAATTTTTTATTTTTTTGAAATTAAAACTGGAGCTGATATCAATAACTTGATTATCTATCATAGTATAGTTATTAACATAGTATTTTATTTTTATTTCCATATTTTCATAGAAAATTTATGATTGCATAATCACAAGAAAATTATCATTTTTATTTTAAGTTGTATATTTGATATTATTATTCATCCATACTGTCAAACATAATTACTTCACAATTACATCAATCACAATAAGATAAAAGATTTAATGATATTTTATATCAATAATATATGTTTTAATTTTGAATCAAGAATGAAATATGTTTCAAAAAAAGTTAGATACAAATTATTTGACCAAAAAGTATGATGTTGTTAATTATACTGTTATAAAAAATAAAACAGATGTTGATGATTTAACAAATTTTCAAATTTCATAATTTGAATAAATTTTAATAAATTTTGAATATTTTTGTCAATAATAATTGTGAGAATAATTTCTACAATACTTCAATTTGAGATTTTTTCAATAAACAGTTCATGATTAAAATCTTCTACCAAGTGAAATACACGCAAAAAGTGCAATGCAGTTGAATTTGCAACATCATGACCAAGTGCGTTCACAATGTGACTTTGCATGAATATGGCATGCTAAAAGAATGAAGAATATCTCTATATCAATTATTAAGCTAAATATTATGAAAGATAAAAATTTCAATTTCAAAAAAAAAATCCACACATTCAAAAGATAGGATAGCTTAAGAAAAAAGAGTTCCATTACCTCCATGGATTTCTTAGAGAGTTTTAAAAGATAAGTTTACTCTTTGTCATAAAACAGTGGATATATAGGGATAGAATTAAAATCATTAGATTTGGTAAATCACAAATAACAATCCGAAGAATCTAAGGTGGGTTAAAAGTTGATGTGATGATAAAAGTAGAAAGACAAGAGTGTTAATTTTCTTTTATGAATTATATATAATCCAACTAAACTAATTCTAAATTTAAAATTTAGTTTTCATGTTGAATCCACTAATTTTTTTTTTTCACATATGGTTGGTAGAAAAAAATGGGTTTAATCTTTTCTTGTCATAGAAGATTTCTTATTTGCACTCCAGACTCGGTCATCTTTACTACTGAAAACATTTCATTTTCACTGGCTTCAAAAATCCCTGATACAGGATTACACATCATATGTGGATGGATGCAAAAATATTGCACGAGATCTTTGTGTCTACTTAACCACTTGGTACATGATTTGCATCTGGAGCCCTGTGTATGTGCGCGCATCAAGTTGCAGAATTTTCATAGAAGTAAACAAGCGAAGGTCTTCTGTCAGGCAATGCGAGGCTCCTTCAAGCCCAAGCCTACCACATCTTGTTGCTGACTGTAGGAATTGCAAAAACGGATGAAATCACGTGAGGATGTGGACATTCTCAGGTCAATGCAAGATATCTGGGTAAGTTATCGAGACAACAGACCCTGTTGGAAGAACCTGATGTACTGTATTGACCTCTACGTCGTCGAGAGAGAATACTGGCAATTGACTGTAAGAGAATGAGAGAATGAGAGAATTCGAAACTACACCTGAAGCAGTCCGTTGTTTGTATAGAATGTAGAGAAAAAACGAGGGTTTGGGGTATAAATGGTCGGAATTTCGCTGCACGCATCACCAAGCGAGTAATGAGATATCATTGGTTGGTCTCACCGGCCACTAAACGATAAAGATTCTCGCCCGCAAAATGGATGCATGGTGACAGCCTGCTTCAAATCGAAAACTCCAGGCAGGCAAGATCCTGGA